ATAAATAATAAAAGGACTTTGATCAAAAAAAAATACTAATAAAGGCTTCCAACATTCCAGGAAGATGAGCTTTGGTTTCGAGGTTCCAAAGAAAGTTGAAGCAGCTTGAGAATATTTGAATTAAAAAGTATATAATTTATCACATGAAAACAAGTGGGCTTATTACAATGTCATAATGTTGATTAATCATTTAGTTTGATTGATTGTTCTGCCCGAACATACGCCATTTGTTGTTAATGAGYATTTCATAATTGAAATGTGAAGTTTAATGTTATCAGTTTTACATCCAAACTACAGTTTGGATTGRGTTTTACTGAGGTGAAGCCTCTGTAGGATGACTGGATGGTTTTAGATGCTTTATGAGCTCACTGCGCCTTATCTGATACTCATTACTTATGAGGTATGGTGTTATAAAAGGAAGGAACGTGAGTTTGGGAATAAAGAAGTTCAGTTTGTAGAGTTGATCAGGCTTATCACGGTAACACAAGAACTATTTACTGAAAATTAGCATTTTAAAAATCTAGTTTTGATTTACTTGTGATATTTTGTTTGATTAGCATCATTATGTTAAACCAGAAGTTTATAAAACTAGAAGCACTCGGAGAGTGCAAACCTCCACCAAGTCCAATCCCCCCCATCCTGTATAAATAAAAAAATGTTTGCCAGAGGAACTCTGAAGCACCTCCCAGACTTCAGAGTCTCGGTGACTGAGCTATCTGCAAGATTTCTCTTAGCTTTCCTACAGGTCCTGTCAGTTTAGGAGTTGATCACATCCTTTAAAGGTTTTGTTTTTGCTCGCCATTGTCACAATTCTGCTTAGTTTGTTCTTTAATTTGTAATTCAGATAACCTAACCATGCAGAAGTTCAGTAATCTGTGCATCGACACCCAGGCAGCTCAGAAGTTTACGTCGTTGTGAGCATTTCTTTAAAATAAATTCAGTATTTTCTATTCTKTTAGAGATTAAAGTTTGTAAGTTAGGGAAAAAAAGGAATTGACACTAGAAGCCATTTACCCCCACACCTAATGAGTTCCTCTTATTAAGGATGATTCATTTAGTAATTAAAACATAAGTGATTATTTACCTGATTTTGCATTCTGTGAGAATAGGAGGAAACTAATGGTTATGGTGGTGAACCTGTGGCAAACTAATTCAGTTTAGCTGTTATTAGTTTACTTGCCTCTCCTTTGGACATGGTTTCATTTTATTTATTTTTTAATAATGGATTAGCAAAATATTTATGAACGGTGAAAAATGATGAAAACGTATTTGCAGTACTGGAAAAAAAGAGATAAAGATGGTCCTAGAAAGTGAAAATGAGCTGTTTTTGCAATCTTRTCACAGTATATTGAGTGTTTGCCTCCGCTCCACCCCCCCATGGCTCCATTACCATTTCATTGATTCATGGTTATGGGTTAGCTGTCTCGGCTAGCGAAATTATGTTTGCCTAAAAACAATTATCAAGCAACAGAAGCCACACCGCAACTTTTATTTCCTAGTGAGTGCATTCTGTGCTTGTGGGTGGATGTGTGTATTTTAGAAGACAACAACAGACTTTCTCCCTAAGTAGAGGGGAACCAAATCAACAGGGCGCTGTGCTGTTGTCACGTACATGCACACTTAGACACAGTTTTACATAGAGCATGCTTTGTGGATGCCAATTGTTTGTGGTGGGTGGTGTGATGAAGCTTTTAGTGTAGGTTTTAATTAACTTCAACAGTTTTCATGTAGTTTCTCCTGGACTTTAAACCTCAATAAGTGTGTGAATTTACAGCCACTTAAGTATGGATAGTTTCCTTGTATAATGCATAATTAAAAAGCATGGGARCCTAAAATACATTCCGTTTAACAAATTGGGACAGCGATAGTTAAATTGAAATATATTTCATTGTATGTGTGTATTTCCTGATGAGTTTATATGATTTACACTGTTTTTTTTTTTAGCTTGACACCCTTTTTAACCAAGTGGACTGGCTTCAATACAGCCAATTGCAGTCAACTAACCCACGTGTCCCACAAGTGGGRCAGTGGATTTGAATGGCTGCAGGTTTGGCAAATCAAATTGAATTTTTGTTGCGACACCACRGRCATGTAGCCAATCMAATTCCAGAGRGGTCGACATGTTAATGTCAAGGATTCAACGGTTTTACGTTAAAAAAATAGAACTTTGTGAAGCGTTCTG